AAATCAGCAAGAAAATAATTAAATGGGAGATATRAGGMGGACTTRGGTTGGGTTCCCAAGGACCTTTTCATCAGCCATTCCACGACTGTGGAATGACCTGCCAATAGAGCTCCAATAGCTGGATCAGCTGTTGGAATTAAAATACAAGTGAAGGCCCATCTCTTTTGGCAGACCTACCCAGACAGTTTTAATGGTGAATTTTAAACTCCATTTTATGCCTGGTTTTTGTTTTGTGCATTTTTATATATTTTATGGAGTTATGTTTTAATATGCACATTTTACATAGTGTTTTAAAATGAATATGTGTTTGTTTATGTTTTAGTAATGCTGTAACCCACCTCGAACCTTTAGGAGAGGCGGGCAAGTAATAACACCATTATTATTATTATTATTATTATTATTATCATCATCATCATCATCATCATCATCATCATCATCATTATTAGTTCCACAGGCCACACTTTGCTCACCCTGAATTTGGAGTAAATATTTAGTGAGGGTCATAGAAGGGACATAGATCAAACTGAAAAAGCAGAGAGTTTAAAGAGTCTTAATTACACTTTCAGATCATCTGCTCTCCACTCCATCTAATCATTTCACATTATTCATGTGCTCTGTATTCTTTTCTTGCTGTGTTCATGTTTCTTTTCTTTCTGTTTAGGCTCAGGCTAAAAAAGACAAAATTTTCTATTTTATCAGCAGCTTTACAGACTTACACTTGGTTGCTTAGATACAAATCTTTTGGTGGCATGGCTAAATGTCTTTGTTTGTATGTGTCAAAAATCAAGCCTGCTGGTTTCTGCATAAGAGCCATGCGCAAATGCCCTCATATTTGTAGGTTTCAAGGGCAAAGAAGGATCATGTTGGTGGAAGAGGGGGAAAAGCCCAACTGAAGCAGTAAACCACAATTAGAGAGAAAAGAGAGCTCTTCTAAGATGTCCTAAAGGAAAGTTTTGACTGATGGAAGTAAAGAAACATGGATGTTCACCAACCTAAGCCTTTCCTGGTAGAACATTATTTGTATCACCTGTATCTAGAGAACTTTTTTTATTGAAAACTCATATGTTATTCCATTGAACACTAAACACAAGACCGACAGTAAGGTTAATTATCGTGGATTTTTCAATAGTTATTTTGTATGGATACTGTACACTAAGGCCCCTTCTATGGCCCCTTTTACACTGCTTTGAGCTGGATTATATGAGTCTACACTGTCATATAATACAGTTCAAAGTAGATAATCTGGATTATATGGCAGTGTAGAAGGGGCCTTAGACTTTATCTAGTTGAGGCAGAAGAACCTTTGATGGGTGTATCTATTTTTACTATGTAGCATGTGCTGCATATACTGTATTTCTAATTGTGAAAATGTTTTGATTTGACTAGTTGTTAATGGTTGTACTACATATTGTTTCAGCTATTTTGTTTTAATTTACTGACAGAAAGGGGGCTATAAAATAAATAGAAAACTAAAAGTGGTGACTATCCTTGGATTAGCGCTCCCTAAACTCCCAGCCGGGGAACTATAGTTCAAATCTTCCTACTTGACTGCGACCCTATTCAGTGTATGGGGGAGAAATCAGTTATAGGAAAGACTAGCCCTAAAGGCAGCCTTTGGCTCACTTTTCTATGTTAGACCTTTGCCTTTCTGTACATAACTTCTTCACTGCTAAGGACAGCCCAGAAAAAAGGATAAGGGATCAAGGCCCCTTTTGAGACTAGGCTTAGAGGGCAGCAGATTGAAAGCCAAAACCAAGGTCACAACAACATGTTATAGAACTCCAATATGCTGATGATAACGTAGTCTGTGCGCACTCAGAAGAAACCTATAAGCCACTCTAAACACCTTTGCAGAAGCATATGAGAAGCTCGACCTTTCATTGAACACTGAGAAAAGTGCTCTTACAGCCAATCCCTCTGCAATGCCAGACATATAGCTTAATGGCGCAACATTAGAAAATGTTGACCATTTCCACTACATTGACAGACCCTATACAACACCGCCTGAGCTCTGTGAGTGCAGCATTTTTCCAAATGAAGCAGAGAGTGTTTGAGGATCGGGACATCTGTAGGGATACCAAGGTGCTTGTTTATAAAGCTATTGTCCTCCCAACCCTGTTATATGCCTGCAAAATGTGGACTGTCTATAGACATCACACTCAACTCCTGGAACGATTCTATCAGCAAGTCCTGCAATTCTCTTGGGAAGACAGGTGGAAAATCTCAGCATGCTGGAAGAAGCAAAGACCATCAGCACTGAAGCGATGCTCCTACACCATCAACTCTGCTAGACTGGCTACGTTGACCAATTGACCGATCACATTTCCTAAAGCAGTTACTATACTCAAAAACAGAAAACATAATGTTGGTGGATAGGAAAAGAGATTTAAAGATGGCCTTAAAGCCAACCTTAAAAACTGTGGCTTAGACACCGAGAACTGGGAAGCCCTGGCCTTGAGTGCTCTAACTGGAGGTCAGCTGTGACCAGCAGTGCTGCAGAATTCGAAGAAGCATGAATGGAGGGCGAAAAGGAAAAATGTGCCAAGAGGAAGGCACATCAAGCCAACCCTGACACCTGGAAACCAGTACCCTCACTGTGGAAGAACATGTGGATCAAGAATAGGGCTCCACATTCACCTATGTACCCACCACCATGATACTACACTCAGACAATGAAAGATCACCTAAGTAAGTAGAGGGTTGAATCGCCCCACCTCCTATGATCAAGCAACACTGGATCACCTAGGGTCCTATATAATTGAGGCTAGTCTGGAATTATCCATCAGAAGGTTACTAAATGATCCAGCACTATAAATATAGAGCTAATGATCGCTGTTGTACCCTCCTATGAATAAGAAAGGCTGCCTTCAATCTGTCTTGTGCACACTTACTTGAAAGAAAGTGACACCACACAGACTGAGAATACATCCTCAAATAATTAGTATTTGTGAGAGTACATGTACCCTTTGAATAGCTAATGGCAACTATGGTGATTCCTTAAGTGCCTGGGCTCCATGTTGTGGAATCATGGGGGTAGCTTTCGGAAGAGCAGTATGTGTGAAAAAGATCTTGGGGGTCCTTATGGACAAAAAGTTAAACATGAGCCAACATGCAGTGGCAAAAAAATATATATGGGATTTTGGTCTGCTTAAATAGTACAGTGTTTAGATCCAGGGAAGTCCTGCTACCCCTTTATTCTGCCTTGGTCAGACCACACCTGGAATGCTGTGTCCAATTCTGGGAACTGCAATTGAAGGGACATGTTGACAAGCTGGAATATGTCCAGAGGAGGGCGACTAAAATGATCAAGGGTCTGGAGAACAAGCCCTATGAGGAGTGGCTTAAAGAGCTGGGCATGTTTAGCCTGCAGAAGAGAAGGCTGAGAGAAGACATGATGGCCATGTATAAATATGTGAGGGGAAGTCATAGGGAGGAGAGAGCAAGCTTGTTTTCAGCTGCCCTGGAGACTTGCATGTGGAACAGTGGCTTCAAACTACAGGAAAGAAGATTCCATCTGAACATTAGGAAGAGCTTCCTGACTGTGAGAGCTGTTCAGCAGTGGAACTCTCTGTGCCTGAGTGTGGTGGAGGCTCCTTCTTTGAGGCTTTTAAACAGAGGCTGGATGGCCATCTGTCGGGGATGCTTTGAATGCATTTTCCTGCTTCTTGTCAGGGGGTTGGACTGGATGGCCCATGAGGTCTCTTCCAAGTCTATGATAAGCCTTCTCACCAGACCAGAACTCCTAGGATCCCACAGCACTGAGCCAGGGAAGTCACAGTGGCCTCAAACTGCCTCCACTCTCAGTTCAGATTCAGCTCAAGCGAAGCCCCATCCGCAATTGAAGGGAGGTGTTGACAAGTTGGAATGTGTCCAGAGAAGGACACCTAAAATGATCAAGGGTCTGGAGAACAAGCCCTATGAGGAGCGGCTTAAAGAGCTGGGCATATTTAGCTTGCAGAAGAGAAGGCTGAGAGGAGACATGATGGCCATGTATGAATATGTGAGGGGAAGTCACAGGGAGGAGGGAGCAAGCTTGTTGTCATTTTCCTAAGTCTTCTTTGGTGCCTCACCAGACCAGAACTCTTAAGATCCCACAGCCTGAAACTGCCTCCACTCTCAGTCCAGATCCAGCTCAAGTGAAGCCCCATCCGCCTTGAAAGAGGTCAGACCCGGATCCCGGAGAGAGAGGATGGAGGGGACGCAAGGACTGCCTTTTCCCTTCCCTCCCTCAGCCTCCCTCCTCCTTCAGCCGCTGAGCTCTGACCTCGAAGGGAATCCTTTGGCGTCACCTGCAGCCTCGGCGCCTCCTCCTTTTCCTCCTGCTCTTCTTAAACGCCTGGAGAGACGCAGCCAAAAAGGGGGGATGGATGGACTGCCTCCGCCGCCAAGGCCACCGGGAGCATGGTGACCTCCGCCGCCGCCGGGCGCCTCTCCCTCTCTGCGCCCGGGAAAGCGCCTCTCCCCGTCCTATAGTCCGGGCCCATTGTGACCGGGGAGCGGCGTCAGAGCGGCGCGGAGGGCCCCCTCGCCTCGGGAAAGGGACGCCAGCCGGACAGAAGAGCCACGTCCAGGGGGAAACCCACCCTCGGGGCCATCTACACAGTCAACACCATAGAATTCATGTCGCATAACACCATTTGGACTTCCCTGGCTCAGTGCCGCGGAAACATGAGAGTCTAGGGTTTCCGACAAGGGATGCTCAAACCTGGATCAATGATTAGGATGACGCAGGAAGGAGGGGAGAGCCCAACAGTAGATTGCTTTCCCATTTCTAGCTGTCATTCTCTATATCAGTGTTTCTCAACCTTCCTAACCTTCTTAATACCTTTCCTCATGTTGTGTTGATCCCCAACTATTAAAATTATTTTAGTTGCTATTTCATAACTGGAATTTTGCTATGGTTATGAATCGTAATGTAAAGATCGGATATGCAGGATGTATTTTCATTCACTGGATCAAATTTGGTACAAATACCAAATACGACCAAATTTGAATACTGGTGGGGTTGAGGGGAATTGATTTTGTCATTTGGGAGTGTAGATGCTGGGATTTATAATTAACATACAATCAAAGAGTGTTCTGAACTCCACCAAGGATGGAGTTGAACCTAACTTGGCACACAGAACTCCCATGACCAACAGAAAATACTGGAAAGGTTTGATGGGTATTGACCTTGAGTTTTGGAGTTGTAGTTCACCTACATCCAGAGAGCACTGTGGACTCAACAATGATGGATCTGGACCAAACTTGGCATGAATATTCCATGTGTGGGGGGGTTTCGGGGGGGGGCTGAGTTTCGGGGGGGGGGCTGAGTCTGAGTGAAAGAGGGTCTACCCTAGCAAACCTTTTGTATCATTACCCCAATACCCCCATGCATATGGGATATATTGAGTATGGTGATCAGATCATGATATGAATAAACATAACAGTTTAAATAATGCACCAGTAAGGCCTTTTCGCGAACCACCATGAAAATTTCGGGGGGGGGGCTGAAGCCCCTCAAGCCCCCCCCCCTACATGCCTCTGGACCAAACTTAGCACGGATACTCAATATGCCCAAATGTGAACACTGGTGGAGTTTGGGGAAAACAGAGCTTGAAATTTGGGAGTTGCAGTTGCTGGGATTTATAGTCTGACCTCCACCAATGATGGAATTGAACCAAACTTGGCACACAAAACTGTCATGACCAACAGAAAATACTGGAAGGGTTTGGTGGGCATTGACCTGGAGTTTTTGAGTTGTAGTTCACCTACATCCAGAGAGCACTGTCAAACAGTGATGGATCTGGACCAAACTTGGAACAAATACTCCATATGCCCAAATGTGAACACTGGTGAAGTTTGAGAAAAATAGACCTTGACATGTGGGAGTTGTAGTTTCTGGGATTAGTAGTTCACTTAAACTCAAAGAGCATTCCGAACACCACCGCTTTGAGTCCCCCTAGGGGTGAGAAAAGCGGTATAGAAATACTGTAAATAAACACCACCAATGATAGAATTGGGGCAAACTTCCCACACAGAACCCCCATGCCTTGAGGGGACTTACTAGCACACTCATCTCTCCAGCCTCACATGCTCTCCCTCACCCATACATGTGCACCATGCTGCTATGCGCGAAGTATGACTGCTTAGAGTCTAAGAAACGGCCCTCCCCTTGGCTGAGAGACCGACTGAGAGGCCAGCCAATCATAGTGGAGGAGGGCTTTTGGTAGGATGATTCATAGTCTGTTTCTAAAAAGGAACAGAAGGTCAGTCAGAGAGATCTTTAGCCTTCTCTGCCAAAGGGGTTCCTAAGACCATCAGAAATATATGTTTTCTGATGGTCTTTTGAGGCCCCTCTTGCCTCCTCATGACCCCCCCCCCCCCCCCGCCCAGGAGTCCTAACTCCCCAGGTTGAGAAATCCTGGTCTACATAATCCATGCTGCTTGCTTGGAATATATAGAGAATGTTGGTCTAGACCAGGCATGGGCAAACTTGGGCCTTCCAGGTGTTTTGGACTTCAACTCCCACCATTCCTAACAACCTCAGGACCCTTCTTTTCCCCCTCATCATTGTGGGAAAGGAAGGGGCTGAGGTTGTTAGGAATGGTGAGAGTTGAAATCCAAAACACCTGGAGAGCCCAAGTTTGCCCATGCCTGGTCTAGAATGATGCAACTATGGGTGCATCTACACTGCAGAATTCATGCAGTTTAACCACTTCAACTGCCATCGCTCAAGTCAATGGAATCTTGGGATTTGTAGTTTAGTGAGAAACCAGCACTCCTTGCCAAAAAAAGCAAGCCTAAAGACCTTCTATAACAATGACCTTCGCAATGTCATTGCACTGAGCTTTGGCAATTAAAGTGGTCTCATGCTGCATTCATTCTACAGCAGTGGTTTCTAACCTTTTTTGACCAGGGACCACTTGACCAGGAACCACTTTGACCAGGGACCGCTCTCCAACATCAGCACCAAAAGGGTTACGCATCAGTTTTTGGTCAACATTAGATTCTGTTTGGTTATATGGGGTGCTGATTCAGAAAATTGCATGGGATAGACTACATCAGCTCTAGTTTCTGATATAGAACACATGCCATCCATTATTCACCATCTGCTTACCCACAGAAAACCGTATTTAACAATCTAGAGCTGATGTGGTAGTAGTACTCTTTCATGGGTGGTCAGCCTCTCCCCTCCCAACATCCCCGTTGCTTAGGAGAGAGATCAGTCACTCTCATTGTGCATGGTTCTGAGGCAATGGTGTAGTTATGGTGAGGCCGTGGACCATATTTTCATTCTTACAGACCACTGGTAGTCTACAGACCACAGGTTGGGAACAACTGTTCTACCATATCAATGCACCCAGGTTCTTTAGCCTCCTCTGCTAAAGAGTGCTGGTGCCTCAGCAAATTCCAGTTCCTGTTAATTCCATATCATTGAGCCACAGCAGTTAAAGTTGTGTCAAACTGCACTAATTCTACAGTGTAGATACACCCACAGACATCCTGATCCCAAATGGTACATTTGAAGGAACAGAAGGCTAGGCACTCTGTGCATGCTCCAAGGCACTCTTGATAAATGTTTCCCATTGTTTTCATTAGAAAACGAACAACAGAACACACAACAGCATTAAAACAGGACATTAAAACGCCATGGCTTGTGTGTTTGGTAAATAAGAAAAGGAATGCCATATTTCAGTGTGTCTCCATAGTTTTGACTGAGCTATTGGATGGTGATTTTTCATTTTTAATATTTTACATTAAATTTTAATAATATATACAATACAACAAGTATTTGAGTGAATGATGGCCTGACATTTAGGTAAACCTAAGAGTTTGCTGTGAGCTTTGAAGTGACTTGTCTATGATGGCCTAGTTTCAAACACACATCTACCAGTTTCTAAAGGTTATGACCTTTTTTTCCCTTTCCAAAGGCATTTGTCTTTTTTTCTTTGAAAAAAGGGAATGCCAAAATTAGGACTCAGCTTTACTATAAATGAGACCAATTGGTCTGAGTCTTTTCAGTACAAAGTATAGTGCTCCAAAGGTTGTGGGACTGGAGCTCTCATCAGCTTAAAACAAGAGAGCCTATGGTGAGAACGAATGGGAGCTGAGGTCCAACAACATCTGGAGGGCACCACTTGATAGATGGAGATGAAACCAGCTACATCTTGGCCTTATGAATCTTCTTGGGGAAATCTTCAAAGGATGCTGCCCATCAAATTCACAGGGACATGTAACATTGATTTGTGACAAGGCAGGGCTTATTGGTTGAAAACTGGCATCTCTACATGCTTTGTTTCTCCAACACATTACGTTAGAAAGGGATACTTGTGCTGAACATAGAAGTGCTTGTGGCTAACTTCAAATGATTTTTCTACAGCAGCAAAGACTTTATTTCCTAATCTATCTATCTATACACATCATAAAAGTGAAAATATGAGGCTGGAGTATTCACTTACACAGACAAGCTCCCATCTCCACAGACAGCTATCGCTCCCACTATTCAGGAGACACCAGTGGCCCTCCCTCCAATGACATGACATTGCAGGTTATAGTGAGCGCCATGAACATGTCCAAGGTCTATAGACCAGGTATGGACAAACTTCAGCCCTCCAGGTGCTTTGGACTTCTACTCCCACAATTCCTAACAGTCTACTGGCTGTGGGAGTTGAAGTCCAAAACACATAGGCCAAAGTTTTCCCATTCCTAGTATAGACCACAACTTTTTAGTAACAATGCACAGTGGTTACAGTAAATTCACCTGTACTCCATGAAAAGAATAACTACTCTGTTTAGCAATCCTTGCAAAGACTGATTTATTATCGGTAAATGTTTGATTTTTATGCCTGTTTTATGTACCTATATACCCAGGGTCACATAAAAATGCCTCAGACCAAAAGGGGTTATGAGTATGAAAAGTTTAAGAAGCCCTGATGTAAATCTGTATTCTGTTCATTTGGGTAGATTAGACAATTGAAAGTGGATTGAGGAGATATAGATCCAGAGTACACTCCTATACTTAGGGTTAGTGGAGTAAAACCCACTGGAAGAGCCAGTGTGATGTAGTTGTTTGAGTGGTGGATTAAGGTTCTGGGAGATAAAGATGTGGATCCCTGCTTAGACGAAGAAAGTCACTGGGTGACCTTGGGCAAGTCACACTCTCTCAAACTCAGGGAAAGGCAAGGAGCAAACCCTTTCTTTCCAACCCCTTATTTATTGTTTCAGAAGCTAATTGAGAATATAGTTATAGTGTGTGCATGTGTGTGTTTGTGTGCGTGTGTGTGTGTGTATACCACAAACAAAGTTAAACTCTTGGCATTATACTAAATTTCCTTTAGCTGGCCACTTGGAGTACCTCTGGTGCCACTGTAAGAAGGTTCTCCATTGTGAGTGTGGCAGGGCTCAGACTGCATTGTAGTAAGTGGTCTGTGGTTTGCTCTTCTTCACACTCGCATGTGGTGAACTCCACTTTGCAGCCCCATTACTTAAGGTTGGCTCTGCATCTCAAGATGCCAAAGGGAAGTTTGTTCAGCACCTTCCAAATCACCCAGTCTTCTGTGTGCCTAGGAGGGAGTTTCTCATCTGGTATCAGCCACTGATTGAGGTTCCAGGTATTAGCCTGCCACTTTTGGACT